TATAAGCAAGCTCTTACACCTTATCACTTTATTGCTTATGTTAAGCCCGTAGAAACAAAACTACGCTTTAACTCCTGAAGAGAAGAATCTGGCTTTGGAGACTATGAGTGAGCTTCATGGAAACTCGGGATTGTTGCCACTAGTTATTAAATTCAACGCTCCTCGCTGCAGTCCTTTCAAATAAATTATGTTTTCTAATGAGATGCTGAAAAATATGAACGGACTTCAGTGGTGGCGATCATAGAGAGATGAACCGGAAATTGCGAAACACTTGCCCACTATAAAACAGTTTCTTTGTGCAACTGCATCTTCTGCGTCTGTCGAAAGGATGTTCAGCACATTCGGATTTGTTCATTCGGATATCAGGAACAGATTGGGAATCGAAAAAGAAGGGAAATTAGTGTTCCTCTTCAGACTTTATAACGAAAATGAAGAGAAAGAGAAGTGATTTCCGTTTTAGTATTACTGAGTTTACCATTAATACCGTTTAATTTTTAAGTTCACATGTACCGTTTTCTATTTTGATTTCTATTCTGATTTTCTTAGAATTATTTGTGGTCTGTTTTATATTTTTTGAGTGGAAATATAAAGTTTCTTGAAAAAATGAACTTTGATTTAAATCGTGATTTTTTTCCAAAAAAAGTCAGGTGATTTAAATCACTTGAAAAAAATCAAGCCAACCCTGGATGAGGGCGATATGACACCCTCGAACCACTCACCTGACTAGAAGTTCCACCGTGCTGCTTCTGGGGTCAATTTCCCCGTTTTGAGGAGGCGATTCCACTGTGATAGTGATGTGCCCTTGGGCTATGCCCTCATAGCTGGCGCCCTCCAGCGAGACTGAGAGACTAACCCCCAGCCAGCCTGACCACGGCCACAATTCCTCCGAGTAGGCCACCGAAACCTCCAAAAAATGCCCTAGAAAACGCGAAGCTTATTTTTTCCAAATCAATCAAACACGCAGCCAATCACCTTGCTGAGGCGTGTAGGGGTGCCAAGTGGGCTTGCCCACAATCCGCCCGGTTACGCCCATCCCATTCAGGATGGTCACGTTGACGATTAAGGGCACCGCGCCATAATACAAGGGCTGTGTGCAGTACGGCCACATATACGGACATTCGCTCAGGTCAATGTAGCTGGGGCTCAAGCTGGCCTGCAAACCGTCTCGTTCACCCCACTTGAACCAACCTCAATTAATCGCAAGCAACTACCTGAGGCTTGTAGCTGTTCAAAATGTGATGGGCCTTGACCAAGTCCAACTTCCCATGCCCCTGCTCGAACATGTTCGCGCCAGGAAGTCGGCGCGCCGATGCCATCAAGGCCTGCTTAATGCTGGCAGGGTTGATGATGTCTTCGCCTCTATGCAGCACGCCGCTGGCCAGAAGCGTTATCGCCCCTAAAACGCTCCAAACTATCCAAAAAACTCAAATAGTCAACGGGCGAACTTTACCGGCCACCACCGGAGACGCCACACTTGTCCCCGACAGCGTTCTGCAGCCGCCCTTAATATGCGAGCCCTTAACTGCCGACCCGAAGGTGACAATGTCGGGCTTCACTCGGCCGTAGCCTTGCGGCAACTCCCATGTCGTCATTCCTCTGGAGGAAAACTTCGCGATTTGGTCCTCAAAATTGATGCCGCCCACCCCGATCACATCCATCTGGTCGGCCGGGTTGTTCAACGTGCCGTAAAGGGGCCCATCATTACCAATTGCTGACACCATTATCACCTAGTGGAAGAATTTAAGCTTTAATTACTCCCTATGTTCCCCATCCGAGCTCATATTAACGCTTTCCGGAATAGCTTCCAATTATTGAATCATCGACTGACCTTATTGGCGGTCAACTCCCACACCTTATCAACAAAGGGATGATCCTTGAAGTCGGGACCGCCGATGCTCAAGTTGAGCACATTCATCTTCTTCATAATGGCATAGTTGAAGGCGTCCAGAAACCACGAAGTGTAGGAAACCTGCCGAAACCAGTTCCATTTCCCAAAATACTGCATCGACAACCGCTCAACCCACCTGGTTGTTGGTGAAAACTCGGAAAATGTACAGCTCAGAGTCGGGGGCGAAGCCCAAACACTCCTTGGACGAGGCAATCACTCCGGCCACAAAAGTTCCATGCCCTAAACCGTCATCAAAGGTCTTTTCATTGGTCCAGTTGGTTCGTTCCTTGATTTTTCTGAAGTGCGGATGGCTTTTGGAGAGTCCCGTGTCGAAAATGGCCACTTTGATACCTGAAACAGTCCCGCTAGTAACGCCGGTTGCTCCTGCGGTTTCACTGGGCAGGCCTACCTTTGCCGGTGATACCCATTGCCCATAAAGTGCCCGCCTGCAAGACGCTGGTAATTTGCTTGGGGACGGCTCTGAGTAGTTTCCTGGAAGTGTGATGTCTGGCGCCGTTTTGCCAAAGTTTCTCCTTAGAATTAGTGTTGGTGCCCCTCTCGTTTGCGCTCAGAAACTTTAGAGTGCGCGACACCATTCGCTGAGCAGTCACTCTCTTAATAGCCGGATGGTCGTTTAGGGCCTTCAAGCCTGCTACAGAGACTCTCCTTAACGTATATTCGCAATAGAAGGATTTTCTCTGCCTTAGAGACTAAAGCCGGGTTGAGATGTCCTACCTTGTAAACTTTCCGTGTCTTCCAGCACAATCACATCAAAATCACTAGGAAAATCACTTGCCGGGTTCTCACGGTCGACAATTTTCCACCGCTTCAACCCCGTGTTGTTCAGGGCGGTTTCAATGTAGGTGGCTCGCGCCTGGCTCTTGTAATAGCCATTGAACATGACAATGTACTCATTTTCCACGATTTTCGACGTGTAGTCAACGTCCACATGTTCCACCGTCAAGTTGCAACAAAGCGGCGACTCGAGAATCGCTTCGCCCGGCTTGGGGGGGCCCTCCTTATTGTTCGCATAGTTTTGGGTGTTGGTCGAAAGTACTTGCAAACACAGCGCCAGACTCAGGAGCACCACTCGCAAGCCGCGCATTTTCAGACGGAGCTCGATCGTTTCCACTTCTTTTTACGCCTAATCATCATTCAAACGGGGGCACATCGGAGCGCAGTTAAGAAAACATTGGATTTCAAATGGCAATGACCTTATTTACAGAGTTTGAGGTTAAATAGCATTGAAATGTCAGTGCTCAGCATCCATCAAACAAACAATGTCACCAACAGACAAAACCTAAAGACAGTAGCTGTGGAGTTAACCTGCCTGGGTGCCTGGCTTAACCTAATTTCTCTGTCAACAACAGCTCTTCCGAGGCGAGGATCTAATAGCTGTTTCTAAAAGGGCCCCAGAATGATAAATCTGAGCAAGCGGCTGCCTTTTAGGGGCATTGAGAAGCAACTGACAGTAGCCTATTCCTCTGCCCCCAAAGAGCAACATGGTAATCAGCACTTCTTCACAGACAAACACCTTTTCACCTAATATGTAACATTTTTAGACGAGTTCAAGGCGCTGAATTTGTACAAAGTTAAAGGAGCGGAAACACCCCGAAGGATACCCAGGAAAACACCAGTTTTCGCCCCCAGGACGACTCAAATGGCAGTGGATCAGGACTGGGGCAGCGTGTGGCCCGGCCCCCGCTCCTTTCACCCGGCCTCTGTACCCCTACCGGTCAGGCAGGGCTTCACTGAGAAGGGGGCTCCGATCCCCGACAAATACGCCAATGCTGAACTGATGAAAATCCCCAACTTCCTCCACTTAACGCCGCCAGTCATTAAGCGGCAGTGTGAGGCTTTGAAGAAGTTCTGCACGCCGTGGCCTGCGGCCCTGGACAGTGCCGAGAAAATTCAGCAGCATTTCCCGCTGGAAATCACCAGCAGCGACTACTGCCACAGCAGCCCCTCGATTAGGGATCCGATGGCGAGAATAGTTACGTTGCGGTTCAAATTGAGCAGCCTCCATTTGGAAAGCAGAGCAAAAGACAAGTTTCTAAGGTGGCAGCGCCTAGGCAACTGACCAGGGGTTAGATACAAATATTTCTCGTTACAGATTGGTAGGGGACAAATATGTTAAAGACACTGATACAGTCACAATAGTTACTGATCGATGCCCTTTGAGGAAACAGAACCTGGACTATGCGATGTATCTACTCACAGCTTTGTATCATGAATCTAAGGTAAGGGGCAATTGCAGTGCGAAACCTCGTTCTTCTTTATCACTATGCGAGCCATTTCTTTCTCAAACAAAGAAAGCTCCCGGTGGGCCAAATGTTAGCTTGTAGCTAAAAGGGGTAATTTCTGCAGAAAGTGGAGCCGTGGGAAGAGCTGAAATCTGAAGCCGACATGGAAACCTATATATGGGAGAACAATGCATCCAAACAAGCAGTTGAGAAAATATTTGGCGTCGCAGCCGAGCAAGTTCCGAACATCAAACAGTACTCACAAGCGGTCACTGACTATATGAATGAAGGTAGGAAGTCAACTCATGGGAAGTTCTACAAAACTAGTTTTGTCATTTTTAGGTGAAAACGATTACACCATATCAAAGTACGGCTTGAGCGTTAGAGATCTTCTCAACCTACCCCAACCAATCAGTTAATTAGTTTTGGTAAGGTTCATTTAGGACTGTCTTCTCAAACACGCCAAATTTCCACAATATCTAGCGTTCTATTGATAATAAACAATATGGCATTTCTACTCTAGTAAGTGCCTAATGCGGTCGTTTTCAGCCAAGTCCACAGCCAAACTCCCTTCGCTATCCCTAACAGAACAGTCGACCTTGTAGTCCAACAGCAGTTGCACACAGCCGAGATTTCCACAGCTGGATGCGTAGTGCAACGCCGTTTGCCCTTCGGAGTCCTAAAGTATTCCCCCGTAAATAAAAATTTACGGAGAAACTCTAGACGTACCTGCAAATTCACCTGGCAGCCGCCTTTGAGCAGCAGTTCCAAGATCCGTGAATCCCCAATATCCGCTGCATAGTGGATGAGGCCTAAACCATTGCTGTCCAATCGGTTTATGTTGGAGGGATTGTGCTTCAGGTAGGCTGCTACTTGGTCCAAGTCGCCGCTCCGGATGTGGTCGCTTATGGTGGCTGCTGAAGAATTCGCCTCGGGAATTGGAGCTGAAACGGCCACCTGAGGAACATTGCGAGCATCAGTTTCCTGAAAACGGCCACACATAGCCAGCTACTGCCTACCCAGCTTGGGGCCTTGCTGGAAGTGCCATCCAAAGAAAAATCCGGGCAGGTGGCTAAAGTGAGCTGAATGTAGCCCTCCATTGCCTGGGCCTTGTCCAGATCGCCCAGCATCTTCCAGGCCTGCCACTTGGACTGGCCCTTCAGGTCGTACCAGCCGGGCTTGGGGATGCTGCAAGGCCCTTCAACGCTTTGCTTGTAGAAGCCGTAGAGCCTCAGCAGCGTGCGATTGTCCAGGCTGGCTACAACTGTCTGAACGTGCTTTAGGCACTTGCCGAATTTCCTCGCTAGTAGAGTTTCGTTGGCTTCCACCACATCAATGCCTATCTCTTTTAGGTCGCTAAAGTCGTCCTCAGGTGAGCTTGCCATATTTACAACTATACTACTACTACTACTACTACTACGAATGCTGGGGTTTTGTGATTATCCACTGATATTGTCTTGATTGGCCGGAGCGACTTTCAGAGCGCTCCCTTCCAACTTGTGCTCGGTCACACTCTGAGCGTCGTCAAAGCCCTGCCTGTTACCGAAACTAACAAAACCGTACTTTTTCGACAAGCCTGTGCTTTTATCGAACACCACCGTTGATAGATTAACGGGGCCGAATTTGCTGAAGTACTGGCGCAATTCGCTGTGGCTCACTGTCCACGGGAGGTTGCTCACATACAGTTTGTGAAACTTGCCCTGAAAACCTCAACTTTTAATCCACATACAGTCGCTACTCGCAAGCTAGATCCACTTACAGCATTACTTGCCATTTCAGGCCTTTGAATCGATTTCCAGCAGATGAATGGTATGGCCAGCAAAAATATCGCTCACTTCCACGCCGCTGTGAGCCCCCAAGTTGCTCAGATCGTGCACTTTTGCCCTGAGCTTCCACTTGTTTAGCAAATGCTCGATCGTCCAATCGGTGCTGCGCTCTTGATAGGTGCAGAAGAACTTTGCGCCACTATTCTGATTCAGAATATACGATACTGTTACTAGAATGTCTTCGAAAATGGCCGGATCGAAGAAACAGTCGGAACCTGCAAGAAGCACAGGGTGATCAGTCAACACGCCTCACTGTCGGCTAGGAGGATTAGTGGGGCTCCCTCCGAACAAACACCTAGATTGGAAGCCTGAAGTACCTAAAATGATGTCGACTGGGCCGATGCAGTCCAAGTTGCTGAGAAAAAGACCCCAGGTGAGTCCCAGAACTCGCACTTGCTCGTCGACAACCAGCTGATTGAGTTGGCACGAGCGTCTGGTATGAGCGAGGCTCTTGGGAAGGGTTGCAGACTCGGTAAATGTGACGTGAGAACCGCACTTTGCCGCTAAGATGCCGGGAAGGGCTGTGCCTGAACCCAATTCCAAAACTCGCTTGCCCGGCAACTCGGAACGGTTTTCCCACAGAAACCAGGCGAGAACAGGGGCACAAGGCCACGTATAAAACGAGTAACTAGCTTGAAGGAGCTGAAATCATGAAGTGACAATGCAATGAGTTCAATTTAAACCAGACCCGGGATAAACGGACCACAAAGAAATCTACAATTAAGATAAGCTACTGTCTCATTAGTGAAGAGTTTCGGAGAAATCGGTCCTCAACCTTTACAACGCCCCAAGCTAGTATTTTCGGATGCAATTAGTCAGTTATCAGTTTAGGTACCTCAGGAATGTATATGTCCAACTTTTCAGTCTTATTACGGTCGTCACTGAAAACGAACTTTTTGACTTGTTCGATGGGACTTTCGGACATTGCACCCCACTATCTCCTATGTGGAAGTCAAGTGCACAATCATTACCTAGCTGGAGAAGCCCCTTTTCTACAATGACAACCACACGCTTCTCAAAAACTAGCACATAACCTAACACCACAGATCACAGAGGTTACTACTTGTCTTCATCTATGGTTACTCACAGATCACAGAGGTTAATGACAGTGTCGGTCTAAACAAAAATTCAGAAAATTCACTTCAGTCACACAGACAGAGCGCGCTTGTTTCCTTTTTAGTTCGAGATATTAGACGTTAACCCCGCCTATTTCTTGATTCCAAATACATTATTTCGGTTTTAAAGGATAATTCCCGAAAACTCGTAGTTAAAAATAGGGATTTTTAGTTGATAAGAATCCAACACTACCCAGGGAATCAGAACAATGGGTGTCTTCGTGAATATTTTTTACACCGCCAGCCGCAGGGCAAACAAAACAAAGAAGCCAAACTAACCTAATTTTCTGAATCCGCCATCAGCTGATGAGTCAGTCAGTGGTGTTGTATCGTTGTCAGTTTATCTTTATTGTAGATATTTTACGTTCAAAACTTGTTTGTGATATACCACTTGTTAATCAACGTGCATGTCAGGTAATGTGGCCGCTCACTAGCTCCTCAGACTGTCAACTTTGGCAAATCCAATCAAAATGACTGGGGCGAAGCTCTTTCGTATTCACACGCCTAGACTTGGGGGTGTTTTAGTGATCCCGGGACAATAAACAATGTCGCAATCCCGATATGGAAGAGGCGCCCCTGGTGGTTCGTTCACTGGGTCGAGCCCCAAATCCCATTCAAAAGGAGTAGCAGCCAGCTGCCCAGGCCAGAACCAGCCGTGCCCCAATACATCAAAACACAAGAACTGTTGCAGCGACATTCGAATAGTGCTCACTCTCACTGAGCCTGAAGAAGCGTTCGTTGCAGAGCTGAAGAATATGTATCGGTTGCGTAAGCTCTAAGAAGACAAAAGGGGCTGCGCTCTTTTTCTCATCGCTCGTTGTTTGCAGTGAAGAAAAGCCCCCCAGTAGTCTCCAAACTAGGGAACTACTTCAACCAGTGTTCCAACCCGTACGAGAGTTTCTTGAAGATTCTCTACAACAGCCAGGAGTTCTACAACGCCAACAAAAAGTCGTTGCCGCTGCTTCTAATCGAAGAATTCGGCAGTTTCGCCACGATCAACCGGAACAAAATAGCCCATCTGTTAACGGGCAAACTGAAGATCGATGCTTTCAAAATCATCACCAAACAGAACGTCCAGTCTGTCACCAAAATGATCATTGATATCTTCGAAATGGTTCAGGATGGCGCTCTTTTTGTTGACAACATCCAGTGTTTGATCCAGAAGAAACAGTACAAAGAGGTACAGTTTCAGGACTGACGACTTGATGATTTCGACGTTTCGTGTCGTCTTCCAGGCCTGCCAGTACGCAGCCATGCTCTCTTTACACGACAAGTTCTCAACGGAGGAGTTCCTAGTGCCCCTCATATTCCAAGACAAGTTGCATTTCGTCGACGAGTTCCTCCATGGAAGCCCGAGCCACCAAAGGGCCTTGATCCAGTTTCTGGACTCCGTCCTGGACCATAATTCGGTGCGAGACGCTATGGGACAATACATCGCGTAAGCTACTTGAAACTGACAAATTGACCACATCTAAGGAAGCTTTTTCAGGGATCGCCACATTCCGCAGGTGAAGTACGACAAGATCCACGGCAAGCCCTGGAAGCGGCTGATTGTGCGCTTCACCAAAATGTTCAAAATACCTGCTGACTTAACGCCCAACCTCAACAGAAGACGTAACGAGGGGGCTTTGCAGTTCCTACTCCATAAGCGGTTTATCGAGAACAGTTTCGGTAGGGAAATGAGGGTGGGTTGAAGACCCGCGCTGTGAGTGAATTGGGCGTTGCAGGCGACGAAAGCTGGAAAGAGATGGTGCAAGAGGCCGTGGGCGACAACGAGGACCTTCAAAGGGAACTGGTTGTTAGAGTGGCGCAGTATGGGGAGTTTGCCGAGGCGCTTCGTTGGGCGCACTTCTACAGCGTGGACCGCAAAGACTGGCCGTACGGCGTCCGGATGTTTGATGACAACAGGTATTGGTTGCTTATCACTTTTGAAGCTAGTTTTGCAATTTGATACATACATATAAACGTTTGATCTAAATGTTTCCGCGGCAATTTCCCTGGTTTAAACTTAGGGCACTTACCCAAATGCTGTCATTCCGTTGCTAGATCCTCGAAGGATTCGGGGTACTAAATCAGGCTCTTTTTTAGCCTAGAATGCATACGCACCACACTAAAATCATATTGGATGTTACCAGAAACACTGTTTACATCTGGACTGTCACTTGCGGCCGGAATCGACTAGTCGGGCACTATCGGCAAAGATCGTTTGCGACCGAACATTTCATCCGATCCCTTCCGTCTAACCTCAAATCGGTTGACTTTTCAAAACCCGATTTTGTTCGGAAAAACGCACGCCCGACTGTAATTTTTGTACAGAACTAAAGCTGAAAGTCTTCCGATTCGAAAAAACCCCAAATATCTGCGGGATTTTTGGATTGAGATCGTTTTTTCGCGTTTTCCCAAGGACGGTGTACGCAATTTGTCAAACAGTCACTGACCCAGACCAAACTGACGCTGCTGTCCAGGGTTGCCAGGTCCGAAAATCGAGTTTCGGTAGATAAGCTCGACACTTCGGTAGAAAATCGGTAGACTCATTTTTCTTTCATTATTAAAGGCTCCATAAAATCGCGCGTTTTTCAAATTTTTTAAACTCACAGGAATATGTACTAAAATAAACATGAGTCAGTAAAGAAGTAAAGATGAAATTGTACTCGTTTTTAGCTTATTTATCAACTTAGTTTTCATTAGATTAACCCATGATACAATGAATACACGAATACATGAATGTATTCATTGTATCATGAGTTTAACCTGTGAAAATATCCGTTCAACTTGGCTGATGAGTGAGGTAGAATAAGCAGGTCACAAATAAAATTGGAAACACGCATGCATCAGCTCCATATTTCAATATTGGTACTTGGCTCCAAAACTCTTCAATATTTTTTTTTATTTCTTCAACATTTCGCAACAGTCGTCATTCTGTGTCCAGACCTTGTAATTCACTATCAGTTATTAAATTTGGAAATCTCATTGCAACATCAGAAATATATTGTAGGGAACCTGATTTCACGATTGCAGGATCCATAAAACATAATTTTATCATATTTATGATCTATACATATGGCGGGCTTGATTGATTTTGTGTTTGAAAATGAACTAAAATACGAGGTGTGCTAAAATAAAATGTCTGCTATTACCAACGTACTTTGATCATGAATGGAAATATGTTATTATGAATCATTATGAATTTTTTTCAACTTTTATTTGTGACTTTTCGGTAGAAATCTGCCTGGTATAGGTAGATCGGTAGGTTCCTTGACAAATCGGTAGATCTACCGAAAAATCGGTAGACCTGGCATCTCTGCTGCTGTCGCTGTTTGAATCCGAAACAGCAACAATTGGTGGTATTGTGGTCGCACTTACTCACTCATATATTTAATTCGACAAAATATCAAAAATAATAAAAGCAATGCGATTATTGTAATTTAGGGATCCTCATTCGAGGCAGCCGCCGCCGGCCGACGACTGGGACGAGCCAAACGCAGCCCTAAGCAAAACCCAATGCCATCAGTACCCGCTACCGTTTAACACAGTCCTCTTAGTGGACGATCCGCGGAAGTTCGAGTCCTTTCTCGACGTGGGACTACAGGCAAGAAAACCCCCTGTTCCAGGCTGGCTCGGCTTATTAAACTAGTTTCTGCACAGGATGTGGATATTGTAGGGATCGACTGCGAATGGAAGCCGAGCTTCGGGGGTAAGACGAGCGAACTAGCCCTGCTCCAAATCGCTACAAGGCGCTCCGTTTATGTGCTCGACATTGTCACGCTGGGCGACAAGGCGCCCCATTTGTGGATGGAGTTGGGGAAATTCCTGTTCAACAATTGTGATATTTTAAAATTAGGTCAGTCATTGATGGTGAAAAGCTCTTGCTTGCTGACTAAGACGCTTCTCTGTTAGGTTTTAGTCTATCCAGTGATATCAGCATGATCAGGCACGCGTTACCCAATTTGAACTTCAGTACCAAACACATGGGATTCCTGGACTTGTGCATGCTCTGGAAACAACTGGAAAAGTACCCCAAAGTGCGCCTGCCCTTTGACGGTAACTAGCCTCCACTTAACTACTGTTAATCTTATTGAAAGGCTCTTTCTAGTGAAAACGGGCGGGCCCAGCTTGAGTACGCTGGTCCATAACTGTCTCGGCCATCCGCTCGACAAATCCGAGCAATTCTCCAATTGGGAGAAACGGCCATTGCGCGAATCGCAAATCTACTACGCCAGCCTGGACGCGTTTTGCTTGATCCAGGTAACCGGCCGTTGAACGTGTGTGGATCGCAACTGTTTAACTGATCTTTCCCTAGGCGTATGACGTTCTTAAACGATGTTTCGAGGAAGCCAATTGCCCGTTTGACGACTTGTGCTACAGCTTGATCCAGCACGATAAATCGCCAAGGAAAAAGCCGAGACGCGCCTTGAACCGAAGCGGGCAGGCTGAGAGCGACCCGCCTCAGCCCCCCAGTCCCCAAACGAGTTCTGTTCAGGTTGACTCCACCAGTCTGGTGCAGCGCGGTCTTTAACTAATAAAACATTCGATTTGGACAGGCACACGAAGTGAAAATGGTCTGCGACTCGATGCTACAGGGCTTGGGCAGAAGCCTGAGACGATGCGGTATCGACACTGTCATTTTGGAGAATAATCAGAGCCCTGATGAGTGCGTAAAACACGCCGTGGTCGACAATAGGTACATTTTGACGAGGAAGAAAGGATTTCGCGTGGTAAGACCGATGATGATGATCAAGGCTTTTGGGCCCCACTAATTACGATTTGAAGTTGATCAAGTGCGTAACGGCCGGCCAATGTTTGCGAGTGACGTCCGACCACCCCGATGAACAACTCGATGAGGTTCTGAACTTCTACAAAATAGTTGTGACGAAGAACCACGCATTCACTCGGTGTATGGTAAGTTGGTCGTGCAGCTCCCGACCCGAACCAACAGCAAATTATCAATTTCAGGCTTGTAATGGCAACAAGGTTATCACAGTGCCACAGGACACAATAAAGGCGCTACACAGTGCAGCGACGCCCCGTAAATACGCGCCCCCCTGCGACGACGAGGAGGAAGCCACTGGATTCACCAGCGATGAAGACTTTGACGACTACGAAGTGGGCTGCTATCGGCCCACAAAACCAGCCGAAAGCAAACAGTTGGCGTTTTGTGAGGCCTCTGCGACCAACTCGCACCCTTTGGCAACTTCCACTGTTTCAGACACGGACAATCGGGTGGATTTGGGACTTTGCCAGACCAAACTGGGGGTGCAAATTAAGGTGAACTCGCTTCCGTTAACAGTTATGAACACCCATGAGGTGTTCTACATTTGCGAAGAGTGTGGAGAGGTCTACTACGGCGGCTCCCATTTCGAACGCATACTCACTAGAAGGCTTCGGGAGACTGTGCAGTAAACTGTTGATTTTTAATACAAACTTTTTGGCGCAAAACGTCCGCAGTTGTTTCAATTCGTCGGCGTGGAGCGGGATGGGGAGCAGGATCCTACGTGCTAAATGCAGCTCGACTGATTGCTTACAACTTTAATCGCTCAACATTCTAACAACTAATATCACCCAGGTGTTGACTTTGTCTTTTGGCATGCCGCTTCTGAACGAAATCGTGCACTTTGATCTGTTGTGCGATAGACAGTTAACTAATTAATCACTAGAAAGCTTGATAGACCTTCCAACGACGCTTAATTTCAGGCAAACTACCTCCATGAAATGTTTTGAAACGCACCGGCCTCAACAATGTGGAGTTTTGGAAAAAACAAGAGAGCAGCCTCGTTCGCGCAAACTAATTTGCGCAAATTCCTCACCCACAAACCTACTAATCTACTGTGTTATTGTCCAAAGCGACCAGGCCAACAGGCCATTATTATTGGATTTCTTGGACGTACTGTCGATCACATCGGCTCCGAAGCCGTTGATTACTTAAGTATTGAGCAACGCAACAAACGTTAGAGTAGAAAATTGTACCTGCGGACTGATTAAGCGTCTTCGGGCTCCAGAAGGTGTTGCGCCTCGATATAATTCTGGAACGTTTGCGGAAACCGCTTATTCAACGCGGCAGTGGTTGTGATGTTCTGTTGCCGCTTGATCAGCATCAGCGTAAAAACAACCGTCAGAATCACTAGGATTAAAACCAGCAACACTCCACCTACTAAAAAACAAACAGCAATTGAATCCGACTGTAGTCTGAATAGTCTGAAGCGACTTACCGCTGATCATCACGATGGTTCCAACGCGAAACCTGCCGGGCATCGGCTGCAAAACCAGCTGAGTTGGAATAATCGAACCGTTGTTGGCAGGTGCAGGCAGATCGAGAATGGCGCAGAATAAATAGAATAGATCCACCGTATGGAAGGGCTCCACTTTGGTATGTTGCCGGATTTGAGGCCCCACAGCCATGAAGAACGGGTGCATCTGAGTCTCCGTGTAATCATATCCATGCACCCCGAATTCCGAACTGTTGGTCACTGAAATCCAAAAGTTTTCGCCTTTCCTGGATTAAATTTTCCCGGAACTTACAAGTGAAGTTGTACTTTTCAGCAAACCGTGGGGCGGCCCTAATGAGGTCATCTAGAGCATAGCCAACGTCCGCTAGTACCAGTATAGGGGGCGACCGCGAATTGTTCTTGTAGTGCCACCTTTCCAGGTACTCGGACTTGTTGTAGACCCCAAAGTGGCCGTTTCGCCTAGAAGCTGCCTTCAGGCCGCTGTAAATCTCCTGCTCATGTCCTGGACAATTGAATAGCCGTTTAAGCCTGGCACCTAATCACTTTGCTCATCCTCACCTTGATGGGGCGTGATCTGGATGGCAGGGCTGGCGCCAGCCCATTCATAGGTCCCATTCTGCATATACTGGGTGATGTTGATGAAGCGAGGCGGCGTCACTGCGGTCATTCCATGATCACTCACATGGATCACGTTCACCAAATCGCTCAACCCATGGGCGTGCAGTTGTTCCTAAAATGTCCATTGCAGCAACTAGACTATCTACAGGTACGTATACCTACGTGCAAGTACCCGGTGATATTGTCCAGTTTATGAACTTGGGTGCGCACAACTTCGGAGTTGGGTCCAAAGGCATGTCCATGCGTGTCCGGTTCCTCAAAGTAGAGCATCACCAGATTGGCAGGCCTGAACGGATCCAGAATCCAGCTGATGGCCTGAAAATGGCACGTTTCAGCCTGCGTCTCTGGCCTGGTCGGGGATTAGCTTACATGATCCACCCGTTTTTGCCAGTCGTATCCAGCCTCGAAGGGCAGCGTCCAGGTGATGGTCTTGTTCTGGTAGGGAAAGTTGCTGCCCGGCCACATGACTGCTCCTGAATGCCTACCCTCACCCAAGTCCTCATTCAGCCTCTGGAAAGAGCAAAAGAATCCAGAATTTTTCGAACTTTTTGACTCGTCGGAAGTCAGGAAAAAAACTAAAAACCTTCCACTGTGCCTGAGTGACCAAGATCGTGCCCGAAAGGCCAAATCGCTGATTTATACAGAATAAATCAAGCCAAACTTCCAATTCCTTACAATTCCTCAGTTGTAAGTAGCTTCACCATTTGATTCAACCCAAAGCCCGCTCGCACAAACAATCAATGAGACGTAGCAACAAGTATGAAGCATCACTAACACCTTGGGGGACTTAAAGCTACCAAGCTGCGTTCCCGAACTTCAAACTAGTTTTACTTTCAAGACACCAATAATGCAAAACTCACAAAGCCCCACTTACCCAAATGGGCTTAACGTCGTCATTGTAGTGGTACATTTCAAATCCCATGCCCACCACATTTTTCAAGGCGGAATCATAGAAGGAGTTGCCAATCACTCCATGCACCTCCGTGTACAATCCGGTGGAAATGGAGTGATGATTGGGAAAAGTTTTAGTTGGGAACACGTTGATCAAGTACTCGGCGTATACCCCCTGAGCACGGACCTGCTCCATGTGGGGCAGCCGCTGTTCGAAAAAATCGTACCTGAACGCATCGTAAGACACCACAACCAGAATGGGGTGATTGGAGAGGGCATGGGCACAACTGATGCAAACACAACACAGCAGGGCTGCACTTGGCCACATTGCTGGCGCTGCTCTTTGGAAAGGGGGCCCCTTTTGCAATGTTTACTCCCCGAGCTGTCAGTGAAGGAATCAATTGACAAGCAAGCGTGATTGGCTGCAAGGTTTTGATGCCAAAACCACAGATGACAGAGGTTATCTCTGTGATCCGTGGCGAATACTTATGCCTAGATGGCGCACGGTGTTTAGCGCCATATTTTCTATATATCTTCGCAAAACTTCTTTGGACAAAAGAAATATATTTCCTGAAAGCTTGAACTCA